TTACTGCGATACTTTGCAAACCTTTCAGAAACCATTCAGTTAATTGTCGAATTATGTCTGAAGAATACGCGTAGATGTTAAGGCAAATAAAGTAGCGTGGAGTTAGCTGCAATGCATCTTTTATTGATGAAATTTGCAATAAAGTCTTGATTCAGACATCGTGTTGTTTATTGAAAACGACAAAACTCCTTTAGTTTCAGAGCTTGCGTGCGGATAAATCCAGTTGCATTCACCGCTAATCTCCCTGTTTCATTCATCGAGATGAGAGTTTGATTATACAACGAAACTCGCTCGATCTGGCGATCGCTATAGCTGCAAGAAAAAAAAATGATATTCGTTTATCAGTTATAGACTAAAAAAATAGTCTTGTTTACGATAAGTATAATTGCCGACGATAAATTTTGTGTTCTAATTAAAAATCTCGCGCAAATGTACCCTTTCCCTTGTACAGCTGCAGCTACACTGTGTCGTTTACGTATCTTTGCGAATGCTGGATGCATTCCAGTACGAAATCGCATTCCAATGAAAACCAGAAACCTGCGAGATACTTTAAGAATTTAATCCAATTTGTTTAGAGAATACTTTTGCAATTTTTATGTTACGTATGTTTTTGTATTTTATAATTTTATATATTGCATCTCCGCATATCTGACTAGGCTGTTATAAATAAGTAATATATCTTATCTGTCAGATAGAGAGAGGATTTGACTCTCAGAATCTCTCGATCCAAAGTAAATACTTTCAAGTCTCAATGCGCGACCTCTAAAATGTTAACACCTGGCGACTCGTAAATGCCTGGAGACTGAAATTGGACAAATATTGTTACAGTTAATTTTATGCATTTCATAAAAATTTTCATAAAAATAAAAAAATTTCATAAAAAATAGCTTCATGAGTAATATAATTTTAGTCTATCCGTCAATACCACAATATCTATCCATCCAATACCATGTGCGCACCGCCGACCTCATTGAGATATTCAATTATTACGAGAGGAATATTTTCCTATCTTTTAGACTCTTTACATTAATCGGGTATTTCTTCTTAAAACTAATTTCAAATTTTTTCTGCTCCAAGGAATAGACCGGATCAATGGTCATTAGAGTCCTTTCGGCGCTGGAACGGCAGGATCCTCAAATATTCTTGATTCAAAACTATATAAATTAAAATTATAAGATTAATATTCTTTCAATGCTCCATATAACGAGAATATCGCTCCATATGCTCGTGTTATACGCCTAATGTGTACAAAATTAGCACCAGTGCTCCACGATTCCTTTGCCGTTGCAAAGATCAGGATACTATTTCATCGTGCGTACTCTGATTTGGAACTTCCTTGAAATTTATAAAATTCGATTTTTCTTCACGGAGCTAAAATCTTGATAATTTTTTATGTATAATTAGCTTAAAATTTGACACGATTATGTTTTAACACTATATTTTTTTACTCGTAAAACAAGAATACATGGAACATTTTTGCAAGAATAAAAAATCTGTAAATAAAACTTCTGTTACTTTTATTTTTCAGTCCCTAGATATTTTTCATTTGTTTTTTATTGCTCGTAAAATCTTTGATAAAATCGATTTAAACTATTTAAAGTACCGTAAGTTTAGAGTATAAGTTATAGCAGTTCAATTCAAAGCGAACTTGATTATTCCATTTTCTAGTTATTCCATGTGCGATGATACTGGAATCCTCAGCCTTTACGGCTTTTATTAAACTTTGGCTGATACATGGTCATGCTAGTGTGTACTCATCTTTCCTCATACAATAATTAATCATAAGCCACGGCAGATCATACATAAGAAGTTATGGACACTTCTCTAATATCGTCTATCACTATCTTGTAATAATTAATCGAATTTGTCGTGTAAATTCTTCAATGAAAGATTAGAACATTTTGTTTTATTATAAATACATTTAACAAATAATGAAATTTACTATATAGTTCCTGGTGTATTTATCTCATTTCGTATTATCAAATGTTATTTTACCTTGGCGGCACCAATTTTGAGCAACCTTGTGCTCTAACTGCATCAAAGTCTTCCTTTTGCCCGATGTTTGCCTAAATAATCAGTAAATTCTTTTAACATCGATTTGTTCTAGAACGAATTTATGTAATTACAAAAATTCTTACCACATAAGCGATAACTTATCCCTTTTCTTTCAAGCACAACAATATGCAAGAGGTATCTAAATCACTGTTATATGTTAGAATTACCTTTTCTTTTAACTCTGACATCTTTTACAGTTTTGTTTTCGACAGAAATTTAAACATTAAATTAACGTGAAGAAAACAATTGGTAATAACAGTACTCAGTAATAAAGTTCGCTGTGTTTCCATTTTAAATGGAGTAGTCTTGTTGACTCTCGGGTTAAGGGGGAACATTACTGTGACGGCCAAAAAAAAAAAAGACTATTTTTATGAATTTTTTTGTGAAAATTAATAGCTTGTATGATTATTGTATTATTATTGTCTTTATATATTTAAAGTATATACATTCACGAAGTTATTACAAAAATTCATTAAACAATATTAATATTTCTAGCCTTCGTGCTCATTGATGCACCTCGTCTGGAAAAACATGAGTGCACGGGCGCTCGTGCTGCGTTTGAACGGGAGCTCTAAAATAAAATATTTTTTATTTTATTTTATAGTACATATTATGAGTGTAGTTTCAGTTAAGCGTACTGATTTTTTTGATAAAATAATTTTAGATAAAATGGTGCTGTTTTAAAAAAAAGAGGTCGCGATTTTGCGAAAAAAATTGTTACCTTTTTTTAATTATTTTTCAAACACTAATAATCCGATTGAAAAATTCGTACGCTTAACTAAAGACAATTTTGTTGTAAACATTCTATCCAAAATTCAAGCCATTCAGATACAAATTGGCGAGATATGTGAACGTCCAGTTACGAAAACGTGGTTTCGAGAAAAACGTGTTTAAAGTTTTACAATCGATTTTGCATCTAACCACGTGCTACTCCATCACATATTTAGTATAATTTACATTACGAATTTCAATATTTTAGGGATATATTTTTAAGACTCCAAGCATTACAAAAATGCAAAAACAGAAAAAAGATTTTTTTAACCTATCACAGTGATGTTCCCCTTTAAGGCGCCTCTAGACGATATGGCTAATGCTTATGTCAACTTTGCACATATTCGCTAAATATTGGTTTATATTCAATATGGATAATTATGTATGTCAAGTCTGTGTATAATATTTGCTGATGTTGGCGAACTATATCGATTACTTTTATTGATAACCTTCGGAAGCTTAATTGTAATCGATATATTAAGATTTTTCTAAATAAGACATCATCTAAACAGATTTTTTTTCTATCATATTTATTATCATATTCTCTTATAATTCTGTGTTCGATTGGCATAGATGTGGCATAGTGATAATTAAAAAGAGACTCAAGAGTAGAGCGCATCATAGGCCTTTATAGGTAGAACATTGCTCAATCTATAATCTACATACATACATATACATATATTATAACAGGATATACTTTATAAATATCGTTTAACTTTGTAATAATCTCTCCGCTAGTAGATCGCAACATTTATTGACATTACATTAATAATTATTACCAGTATTCATTCACAAACGCAAGTTTCTGATTGGAAAGCGTTTCTTTATCACAACTGTAGAACAACGATTGCGATAAATTTTGCAATATATACTGGTATATAATTGTTGTACCTGTATTATATTCAACAAAAGCAATACTAATCGAATTTGTCAAAGAGAGAGCTGAACATTTTTTCATATATCGTTTGAATATTATATATTTATAAATAACATTAAATATAGCATCTGAATTGGCAATTAATAAACTGAAGAGTGTATAAGAGTGCATAAACCGATAAAAGTACAGATAAATAAGTTAACAAAGGAAGAATAAGTGTCAGGCTGTATACATCTAGCGATTTTATTTTACATTCAATACCATTAATTAGAGATATAAGAAATAATAATATATCAAATAAATAACTTTATATCATTGTTACATCGATAATACATTTAAAGAGAATTAAGTCAAATGTGTCATGACATTTATAGATTTAATGTCTCTCTATTATAATAGAATTTTTTAGAAGAAGTAAAAGTATGCTTGAGAACAAAAACAATTTACACATAAGATGTCAATTTGAATAAATTTCAACGAGGAAAAGAAACAAAATACTAATAACAAGAAATGTACAGGAATATCACGATTCTTTTCTGTGAAGATACAGCTTCACAAATTTTTTAAATTTCTGATAAAGTATAATAATGATATATTTCTAGAATTTTATTAAAGACTCGATTACGATACCATTGAAAGGCTCGATTATACAGCTTCGTGCGATTTATATCAATATTGCCAAAATGTCTCATACGATTTCTGATTATGTATTCGCGCAGGCACTTGATAACTCGGTCTGATCAAGACTCTTCGTGCTCTTATTAATACACGAATACTTTCATTGTTATTCAACTGACAATGGGATACTTGCTTAATTTCTGCCCGAAATGCTTTCGCTTAAAGAGAATTGACTCTGTGTTTGTTATTTAGTTAAATAACCTAATTTTATACCTCGAGATCATTCATGGCTTCATAAATGGTATATACTGATGGAATTGAAGCTAATGGCAAATTAAGAATTCAGGAATGTTATCTCTTTTTGTTAAATATCAACCATTTAGACGTGTAGTTTACTCAAATCATTCATGAATGATTTTGGTGTAATTATATGAGATGAACCTATAAAAATACATAAATATTTTATAATAATAGATAAATTTTCAATCATGCTTTAGTTATAAATTATTTTTTATCTCAAATAGAAATTGGATACAAAAAATTCTTACCGATTATGACTTCCCAATTTTTTAATGCGTTCGTAACTTCATATGCACATCGTATTTCAGAGAAGCACATTCCTCCAACTATAAAAACAATCAAACGAGGAACGTTTTTGATGGTCTGTTGACCTTTGTCTTTGTGCCAGTGTCCATATCGTGCGCTACAAGTTTATAAATTATTAATATTTTTAAAAACTTAATAACAAATTGATTTAGATAAAGAAAAAGTAGCATTACTGTATACCTGGTTGGTGCATGATATCCTGAACTAGCTGCACGGCCGGCAAGAAACGGAAAATGTTTAGAATCAAGTTTATCTTCAATAGAATCCTCCATAACATCCTTAATGACTGGCGTCCAACGGCTCATTTGGTAAGTTTGCTCTGTGATTCTTTCCTTGCGTGGTACCGTATATAACTTTTTACGATTGCTCTGTAAAACAACATTGTAAAAAATAGAATTAAATCATTATTTAAAATGCTACTATAAAATTTTTTAATATGAGATATTTGTAACTTTTAACTTACATCTACAACAACATTAATACCGAGATTTGCCATATTGACAATAGTCTGTTTATCATCAATAGATACTTGGGCATGGTGAACTAAACGATTAAGATTCTCATCGGTGATGCCGTTTTTGCTGATGACATATAAAGCTATAATGCGTAATTTATCCAAATGGTTTACAGTCTGATCAAGTAAAATCGGTGTAATATTTCTCATATGATCTTTGATACGTTCGCCTTCTGCATCAGTACCCATGGCTAAATCCTAGAACACGATTAAAAATACTTATAATTAAAAAATATTTCTTATTAAATGGATTATAGGATAGTGATTATGATATTACGCACTTGCTCCACTTTACAAAGTTTATCTACATTTCCTTGATAACGTTTCATGCAATCTTCGGCTAATTGTAAATGTGTAGCATATTTGCTCAATTCTTTTTGATATTGCGGCATCTTTTTGATCATTTGCGACAAGTCTCGCATACTTTGCTTATCGCCCTGCGGCATTCTTTTTGATTCTGTAAACTTTTTCAAATTTTTAGTGACGTTCCTGAAAAATAACGTTTTATTGTTATTCTTTATAATATATAATATTCTTAATATTCTTTATAATTATTAATCTTTCGAGGGAAGATTAAAACTTATATTTCTACATACTGAGAGACTACGGCAATATGTTGATGCCTGAGTTCAACCCATAAATCATCATTTTCATCCAACAATACTTCTTTTTCTTGACCCGCTGTTGCCTCAAACCTATTTAATATTATATGACATTAAAGTTTTATTTTAAATTTGTGCAATATAGCTGTGTTAAATATATTTACTTACCTGTAGACATCATTATCAATGTCTAGCAAATCATATGCCATAGCTTGCAGTGTAAGTTCATGTAGTAAAGGTGAGACGCAATCAAATCCTCTATCTAAAATCAATAATTGAGAACGAGCTTTCTCAGGTCCTTCTCCCATTGTTGGTTCATCAGCTTTGTATGCATCTAGTTTCTGTTGCACCAATTGAGCGAGTTCAACATTGCGGTCGAAGTCACTATGATACATATTAATAGCATTTATTTAATGCTAACAAAAATTGTGTAATTATTCTTCATCAAGAGAAGAAATTGCAATTAAGTTATTAATGTTTTTAAATCACATTTAGATTGAAATTACCTGCGATATCTAACTGATGGATATTCTCCAAGTGTGGCGCAAAGTGTTGCAATTTGTTCAGCAATACGCTCCATATTGGCTGACCTCAGATTAAAGAAAGAGGGGTTGTAAAAGCAAGCGAAAGTTTCACGCGAGTCCAACGAGAAGACCTAAGAAAATGGCAGATTCAGTTTTACGATATTCTCAATACGACAAAGAAAAGTAAATTTAATTACAAAGTTTTGTACTTGAAGCAAAATAAATAAGCATGCCAATTAGTAACTTTAAAAATAATAAAATCGGACTATACGGATAATTCGATTAGTGATCACATTACAAGCATGTACGTACAACATACAGATATTTTGAGTCAAAAGGAAAAGTGGTGTGAAAAAGACTTTCCTCAACAAGAAGTCTATATCGCCGAATCTTTTGCAATCTAAAAGTAAACTGACGATCCGGAAAAAGCAGAGAAATCTCTAAGCTTGTGAATGCTCGAAGATTGAAGACAAATTTCGCGCTCTAGAGCTACAACTAGCGTCTATTATTTTCGTCTGCTTAATCGTCACCTGCGATTCGTACGGCAAGAATGCGATGTTGATCTCTTTGAGGGTTTTGATCTTTTTAGCAGCAAGAGACTTGCAGATTTCATTGAACAGCTCCTCCGGGCATACTGGCATCAATTGCAAGCATGAATGCATTCTGATTATTAGTA